AATTTCATTTATTTCTTTATTATAGCATCCTATTTTATTCATCTTACTACAACATGTAAAAATCTACCCAATTGTATACAAATTAATTTTCATTGATATTATTTGGTAGTTTTTTCAAAGTAGAATGTTCTAATAAGAAAAACTTAAAAGTGAAATGCTATATCAAGCAAATAAATGGAACTGCATTGACACCAAAAATCTTGAGTATGATAAAATTTCAAATTTACCAAAATTTATTCTTCGTATAATATTTATGTTTGTGTGAAAAGAACAGTCATTTGCATCCTACAACGGTAGCGCAGGTTAGACAATATAAAATAACAACAATAAAAATAATAATACCAAAGTCAAAAAATACTGAAATTTACGTCACATACCTTTATGCAAGATCAGGTACTAGAGCCATTGACAAAACCTCAACTGTCTGATGCAAGAAACCATCTTGTGTTATAAAAAAAAACTTATAGTGATGTCAAACAATTACAAAATAGTTTTTCCTACTATAATTAGGTAGATTTTCCAAAGTGCAATGTCTCAATAAGAAAAAATTGAATGTAAAATCAAAGTATGATAATATAATACACATATTTAAATGGAAAATGGCCAAATACGTTTAAATGCAAGAAATAGCAATGTACTTTCAAAGTACATTATCCTGAAAAGAAAAAAAAATGGAATTACGGTAGTATCAAAATTTTAAAGTATAATGTTTTAATAAGAAAGTGAATTTTGAAATAGGATGTTGTATTGAGTATGATGAAATAAATTATAATACACGAAATAAATGAAAGTGCATTGCTATTTTTTTGCAAGTTAATCATGACTATATGTTAAGATTTTTGAGCACTGGATCAGATAACTAAAAGTTAAATATTAACATCAACTAGCATATGCAGATGGTGAATTAAAAAAGTAATGTCATAAGTAGCAGTAACCATAAGACATGATTGCATACCTCAAAAAACAATCTTTCTTTACACTGATTTGCATGTTCTTTGTCTTTTTAACGCCCATCTTTCTTTGATATAAATTGCAGGTTCAATAAGTTGCTGTAAAGTCACCTTTGATGCAATCCTTCTGTTTCCTTCAAATCTTTTCATAAATCATGATCTCACTTGCTTGAATTTCATCTAAGAATCACCCAAAAAAAAGTAGAAGGATAGTGTATATTGTATTAGATAATAACATCATATAGTAGGTTGTCAAGTTTAACAGCTTGCCTTGAACCTTCATCAAACAAACCCTTTATGGATAAAACTTCTTGAATGTTATTGAAGACTCTCTTATTGTCTATATCAATGACAATGGTGTATATTGCATCAGGGGGGTAAACCCACATTCACTCCCATGTTTAGTACATAAAGAGTCTTTGGGTACATCATACCCTTTACAAGACCTAGCCCACCAACAACCTGCAACAAAGATATTAACCTAATGACATGAGACCATATTTGTTATAATTAAAGCGAACAACATACCTTGACAACAGTTTGATTGAAGCATGAGATGAGACCATATTTGTTAAGGTATCCCATTCTACAGATCCTGCTAAACACTCCTTCCAACATTAAAACTAAGTCATCCATTAATAGCATTTTGCTTTTCGTTAAAGTCGGCCTTATCCATCTACACAAGCCAAAAAGAAAAAAAAAGGAATATGATTTAAAATATAAACAATTAAAAATGTCATCATACAAAACATCTAATAATACACATAATGATATAAGTGAAAATATGAATTGACTTATTTAACCTTGCCATTATCATCGTCATCCAAATCTTTAATGAGCCCTTTTATTAGTTTGAATAAAGACCCAACCTACAAAAGTGAAACATATAGTAAAAAGTGAAACATTTATTAAAAAAACTAAATAAAGATGTGCATAAGTAAACTAGTTTATTAATGGTTTGTTAGTTTTGGAAACAAGAAGTTATGTTGTATTTCTTTTATCTTCATCAGGTTACATTAGAACACTCCAAATGATCCCTCAGTATGCATACGTGAAAATAAGAATATAACATCACTGCTAAATCCAGTTGTCCTTATTATGGAGTTGTTATGAATGTATGGATTCAAAAGCTATATAGTGTAATACTAGTCACTATGTATGGTAAATCAGACTAAAACTGAAATTAAATTTAAATTTTGGAAAAATATGATGCCTAAATTAAGTTTGGTGTAAAATCATTATGATTTCTCACAAAAGGTTTTCCTTTAATCTCAAAAATCAAACTAAAAGAAGAGTGAATAAAATACTAGCCACTGATTAACAGCCAAACTCATAAAACATGAGTATAAACAGAGAATCGGGTATGTTGAAATTAAAGAAGCACATTTTTTTTCCTTATGCAAGATTTACTTGTGTTTTCTAGTCCAGAGTCTGAGGAACTCTTGTTTCTTTTACAGGTTTAACAAACAATTGATGCAAGATTTTTTTTTTGATGAAAATAAATTAGAGCAAGATACAATCTCACAAGGATAAAGGTAACAAAATCAAAGAGAAGAAGAAGAAGAAGAAGTGAATTTGTTGTCAATAGTGCAATTTTTTTTTGATGATTCATGGAAAGAGTTGAAGGAGACCTATATGTTGGCGTTTCCATTTGATTTTATTGTCAAAGCACAACACACTTTGTGTATGTACCAATGAAATTCAACCCTAGAAACATCTAACTAAGCTTATATAATCACAAAAGTCGTCTGAATCAACTGTAATCAACTACACATATAATATTGGAATCACTAAACATGAACTTCAATATAACTTTTCCTATAGCACATTAACTCTTATATCCAGAGTTTTGATTATGTAAGATAGAGAAAGACAAGACTAGAATCAGCTATAATCAACTAAACTTATGCTATTGTTACCATAATAGAGAAAAATCGAGGAGCATACCTAGCGATTGATCGATCAGGCCGCACACGACAAAGCAGATAAGAGGACTGATCAGAGATGCTCCTACATAGAAGAGGACGCAGAGTAAAATCTGATCGATAATTTGGGGGCGGAGCACGCAGAGTAATTTACGATCGCTAATGGCGTAATGAAATGGGGAGGGGGAATGAACGATGAATTTGGGGAAACTGTGAAGTGAGGGTAATTTTATGTTGGTTTTCTTAAATTCCCTCAAAGTATATACATAATACACTTGAATACGTGATGTATGTTATCTCCAAGTTTTATTTATTTTTAATTTTTTATATAAGTAAAGTTCTTAGTTTAGGTTATCAACATAGTGTTATCAGCTTTGGACGTCAACAATTAGTTTGAATTTTCTTTTTATTTTTTGTCGACATTTAAAAATTATTGAAAAAAAATTAGATGATTAAGTTATTGCTCAAGATATATATGCATATATAAATTCTTACGTGGTTTAGTAATTAGTTATATCCAAAAATTGTTAAATAGTAAAAGTTGGATTATAATTAAAATAATAACTTAACTAAAATTAATAATTTATTTTTACTATTGAGTTTTTAAGAATGATGATGTATTTTTATAATAGTAGGTTATAGAAATTTCTATATTGTGCTACGGATAAACATTCCGTAACTACTTGAATACGGAATATTCTGTTGCCAAACATCAATGAATTTTGATTTCGTAACTGTTTTGCAAATCCAAAAACAAATTTTATTCAAAAATACATACGATCAAGCTTTTGGTAACAAGTTTCATAGTAGATTAGCTACAAAATTTTATTGTGTAGCAAATTTTTGTAGCAAAAAATAGTTATGAATTTCAATTTTGTAGCCAACTAATTGACGTATTTTGATTTTGTAGCCGATTAGTAGCCAACTAGCTACATGTATAGACTCCGTAACAAGTTCATAGCGAACTAGATACGACCAATAACTCCGTAGCATATTCCGTAATAATATAGCTATAAAATTTGATTTCGTAGCAACTTTCGGTAACGATTCATGATTTAGCTACAAAAATGCAACTTCGTAGCCATTTCCGTAGCAAAATAGCTACGGGTAGCCATTCCGTAGCATATTCCGTTGTAGAATAGCTACAAATTTTGATTCTATAGTAACTCTCCGTAGCTATTCAGGATTTAGCTACGGATTGCAATTCTGTAGCTAATTTTGTAGCAAAATAGCTACAATAAGTCATTCCGTAGCATATTCCGTAATAGAATAACTACGGATTTTGATTCCGTAGCAACTTTTCGTAGCTATTTAGGATTTTTCTTGTAGTGAGCGTTTAACTTTTAGTTTTAACAAAACGCTCCGATTCTAAAAGCTACTTCATGTGGTGTTTAACAAACTGCTTCTGAGCTTTTGAAATGAATTTCCATAATTACCCTTAAAAATATATTTATATATTTATTTATTTTTAATCAATTGTCTTTTTATGTAATTTTATATATTTCAAAAGCGTTCAGCTACTTTTGTCAAAGATTCATATAACAAATAAAAGTTACAGCTTCCCGCTACCAGCTACCTGCTGCACACTACCAGCTATCCGCTACCAGCTAACCACTACCCACTTCCAGCTAACAGCTACTTTTGACAAACACGTCCTAATGCAACTACTAATTTGTCGGTGCTTTTACTACTGAAAGATCCCGCTTCCACTATTATATATGTTTTAAATAAAATTTCAAATTTAAGGCTGTGTAAAGATATCCTTTCGGTAAACGTAGACTCGTCTCTTCTATTTTAATGATCCGTTCGAAAATTCTTATGAATTTGTTGATAATTCTAATGATTTTATCTAGAATAACGATTTTAACCATTAACCAAATTACGTATTAACACGATTTGAAGTATTGAAAGTAAAATTTTAGAATAAAAAATCGAGAACTATGATATAATAATTGATATTTAGTAAAAGAACGCAATCAAAACATGGTTTTATTGAATATGAGTTTTCTAGTAAAGTGTACTACACTTCTGTTTTTTCTTAACTTTATCTAGTATGGTGGTAATATTATACGTTACATTATTCAATTTCTTCACCGTACTCATTAAAATCTACATACCGCCCTCCCAACCTTGGATAATTTATATATCATATATATTGACACTCTCCCACCATCATTCAGCACATAAATTCTTCACCTGAAAATGGTTAGTGTCCTGGAGCTCCGAAAGGCGCAACGAGCTGAAGGCCCAGCAACGATTTTGGCTATCGGGATTGCTACACCAATTAACTGTGTCCTCCAGAGCACTTATCCAGATTACTATTTCCGTGTTACAAATAGTGAAAACAAGAATGAACTTAAAGCAAAATTCAAACGCATGTGTAGGTTTTCTGAATCATTTGTACTTGAAGATGTAACTCTATAGTAGTACGTTTATTTTAAATTGATCTTTCTTGGTGTTATACTCAGGTGACAAATCAATGATTAGAAAGCGATACATACACTTGACGGAGGATATGTTGAAAGAGAAACCAAATCTTTGTGCTTACATGGCACCATCGTTAGATGAAAGACAAGATATTGTTGTCTTGGAAGTACCAAAACTTGGTGCAGAAGCCGCAACTCACGCAATCAAGGAATGGGGCCAACCGAAGTCAAACATCACCCACCTTGTCTTTTCCACTTCGTGTGGGGTTGACATGCCAGGAGCTGATAACCAACTAACAGAGCTTCTCGACCTTCGTCCTTCAATCAAACGTGTGATGATATACGAAAATGGTTGTTATGCAGGTGGCACAGCCATTCGTTTAGCCAAGGACTTGGCAGAGAACAACAAGGGGGCCCGTGTATTGGTTGTTTGCTCGGAAATCACTGCTATAGGTTTCCGAGGACCCGATGAGACCCATCTTGATGGTCTTGTAGGTCAGGCTTTGTTTGGTGATGGTGCAGGCGCCATTATAGTTGGCTCTGACCCGTTACCAGATATTGAAAAGCCACTTTTCCAGATTGTTTCTGCTTCCCAGACTATCATCCCGGATACAAAGAGCATGCTTAGAGGACACGTTCGAGAGGTCGGGCTTAAATACCATCTCCATAAATCCATTCCTGAACTCATCGCGAACAACATTGAAAACTGCATGGTAGAGGCATTTCGACCCTTGGGAATTGTTGACTGGAACTCACTTTTCTGGATTGTACATCCAGGGGGCGCTGGGATATTGGACCAAGTGGAGGAAAAACTAAGCCTTACACCCAATAAACTACGAGCCACACGACACATACTCAGTGAATACGGAAATATGTTTAGTAGTTGTGTCCTCTTCATTCTAAATGAAATGCGACACTCGTCAACTATAGACGGGTTTGAGACCACCGGAGAGGGTCTAGAGTGGGGTGTATTGTTTGGGTTCGGACCTGGTCTCACTATTGAAACTGTGGTTCTCCATAGTGTGCGCATTTAATGGTTATTATGTTTTGGTTATTCAATGTTGCGGCCTTGGCGTACTAAACTTGACTAGCCTGCATTAAATCCTTGAAATTATGCCCTCCTTTATTTATCACCATATCAATAAAATATCATGTAATATGGTTCATGATTGTGTGTGCTTATTTCGCTATATTATGTTTTTTTAATTAATGTTAATGTTAATTTCGGGTTAGTTTCTTTTTTCTTTCTGCGTCATGGATCTCCTTAGTAAATTCTGAGATCAAGAGCATATTATCACAACTGTTAAACCAAATTTAAAATAACTATTTTTATGATGTTTTTTTTTCTGTTTGAAAATAGTTTAGAAAAGAATAACCCATATGCTCAAGGTTGTTAAGTCGAAACCTAGATTTTTTTTTCTTTGAAAGATAGTGATTATAGGATTGAATCACCCACATTTCAAAAAATAAAATATGCATTTTTGTCTATTAGTTAACCATAAGTTAACAATAAATAGTTTAAAACATTAAGAAAAGCATCTTCAATATGTATTATCACAACCATTAAACTAAATTAAAAATAACAATTTTAACGACGTATTCTGTCGGAAAATAGTTTAGAAAAGGATAACGCATTTGATCAAGGTTGTTATGTCGGTACCTAGATTTTTTTGTGTTTTAAAAGATAATGATTATATCGATCCTAAGATTTTACCAAAAACATTTTAAAACATAAAATATACATTTATTGTCTATTAGTTAACAATAAATAATTTTTTTTAAAAAAAAAAAAAAACATTTTCAATACATTATTTAACAACAAATAATTTAAAATAGTTTTTATAAAGTTCATATTCCATGTATTTAATTGGTCCAAAACAAAATATTATAAATCTTAAAAAAAAAATAGTAATTATCTTACGATCAATCATATGATACGATCCTATGATCTTACTTTGATCTTACTCACAAATAACACAAGTATGATAAGGATGAATTTACCTAGTTGGGATCGTAAAATCCTAACATTAGGTTTGCCATTTAATTTAAAAACCTTGCATTTCACCATTTAATGATATAAATTTGATAGCTTTCAACAATATTTTTCTTTGTTGTATTTCTAGAAAATTTAGCAGTCTATTTTTTTTCTGAAAATATTTAGAGAGATGAAATCTAAAAAGGTTAATATCATAAATGACGTTATATGTCGAAATTTTTTTAAGAATTAAAGCTCAACTTTAATATTTTTTTCATAAAAACATGCAACTTGTATTTTCAATTTTTTCCATGGACCTTGTAGCAGTTTGCTACTACTCATCCGATTGTAAGCATTTTTTTTTTCTTCAGAAAACCCTTTTATGTTTTTTTACAAAAAAACCTCACCTGTCTTTTTTCTGAAAAAACCATGAATTCTTTTTCCCAAAAAAAAATGTAAAGGTTTTCAGGAAAAAAATAGAAAGTCGAGGGTTTTGCAGAAAATATTGTTTATAACCGTTATCAATAAACCTATTAAAATGCTAAAATAAAAAAATTTACAAGGTCTATGTAGAGAAAAACAAAGTTTAAGTTTAATTTAGAAAAAAACCAGTGTCGAAAATATATTGCAAAAAGGCTAACAATGTCATAGATTAATATTAACCCAAACAAAACATTAAATATGCAAACAGTTTTTAAATAACGATGTGGAAATTATATTGCAAAAAAGGCTAACAATATCGTAGAAAACGTGTTTGATATGTGTTGTGATGTCAACCCTACGGCGAGACTATCTCTAAACAAAACCTGTATTCACAAACAAACAATACATTAGATGTTCTCTAGGAGGGGATTCAGGGAGGACGTTGTGATGCTCTGGTCATTGGATTGAGTAAAGCTTTAGGGTTGTCTTAGTGAGAGAATGAAAAGAGATCGTACCTCCTTTAAGTGTTCCTAGCATTTCTTATCTAGTAAGGTGATTTAGGCAGAGGGGACCATAGTAACGGTATTTTGTATGCTGGGCTGCCATTGGTCCATTTGTTTGTGTCTAACTCCTCATCTGTCCTGATTGGTGTAAAGGGAATAAATGGTAGTGGTCCGTGTAGAACCATACTGATGTCTCCTTTTGTGCGCCAGCCCAGATCCTTATGTAAACATCAAGAAGTCTTTCCTTGTACGATGCGCTGGCTGTTGGGTATAGCTGATCCTCTAGTCTGTCTGGTTAGGTTCTAGCCTCAACATTGGTTTCTGATGGCTCCCAAGCGTAGCTGGTCAGTTTCGTCCAATTGTTTCTTCTTTGGTGCGTTCGAGCTAGTGGTTGCTTTGCTTTGACGAGTTCCCATCGTGTTTAGTTGTGTCATGACGTACCATTATGGGGTACGTCATGAAGCCCCCAAATCTAGTAGTAACGAAGGAGCATAGCGAGTCATCATGTGCGAGACTCATAGAGACACGTGTGGTTTTCTTATTTGTCGAGTAGTTATTACCCCTTGCAAATTGGCCAGCTTTTTATTGGCGTGTGATTTGTCGTGATCTCTATCCATAAATACCTATCTTCTCCTTTATACACGTTATTCATTCCAATCTTAGTTTACTTTTTCCTCTTTTTATAACGTCCCAAAAATACGATCTGAAAATTTCTTTTCATTTAATTAATAAAAAACCATAATAAACAAATCATATCATTCATAAAGAAAAGTTGTCATATCAAATTAGAGTATCATCTTAAAACATGTTCGTTTATCAGAGTAAAAGCCTCCCAGCTTAAAGCTTCTTGGTATGTGCAATGCAGTCATCCCGAGCTCCTCCCTCTGCTACCGGAAGTACCTGAAACCAAAACTAAAAACTATAAGCAAGAAGCTTAGTGAGTTCCCCATACTACCACATACCAAACACTTAAACACATACATCAAACATTGGGCCTAGCCCGCTACATCGGGCCCAGCCCAACATCAGACGAATCTGGCATCAAGCACTGCCTGGCATCGAGCCTCACTCGGTATACATATATGTTTCTACTAGGCCTCGCCTATCTCCGGTCCCCGCCCGCTACATACATGCAACAATAACATATCAACATGCAAGTACATAAAAAAAATCACTATACTATAACTGCTAGCCTCAAGGCCCCGCCTATCTGGGTCCCTGCCCCTACTCTACTAATAAAGAGATATGGAGCCCTGTTCACCCTCATCTAGTGATGAGATACGTGCCTCCGCCCACACTTATCCCCTACCAAACACATACAGGTATCATAAAACAACAAGTATAACTAAACATACACTAATGCCTCGGGTATTACCCGACATCGAACTGTAGCTCAGAAACATACATATAAACCTTCATCGGGCCTCGCCCGACATCGACCTGAAATCTGGAAAACATATAAACTACATCGGGCTAACCCCAACATCGGATCTAAATCCAGCATACACTAACATACTTAAACGGGCCAACATTAGTGCCTTAGCCCCCTTCCTCCTGGAGAAAAATCACCTCGCAAAGTTGATTGTAGAATCCTGCGAATAACCCCTCGCTGCTAGCTGGCAGATCCCCGAACTGTTGATCTCTTAACTCCCATAGCTATCAATGCCAAAATTATCACTTAGTCCAAACCAATAATCCGCGTTAAGGTAAAATAACCATTTTCCCCTAACCCAAATTGGTCCAACTAAGGCTCCAGATCATAATATAATAAGGCGTAACAATAGATGGGCTTCCTAAGCCCACTAGTGGCCCAATTTGCTAAATTGGGCCCAATCCCCCTAATGGGCCTTACCCTAATCCCAAAACATATACTTGGCCCATATTAACTCCTGATGGCCCATCAAAGACCAAATACCCAAAAAATTGGCCCAAACCGACGCCCAAAAATGCAAAGCCCAAAACTGATACGTATGTGTGGCGTACATCTAACTACGCTAAGCATACTGGCTGATGGTTTGTATGTCGTGCGTACCTGCTTGTACGCCCAACGTAAAACCCTATTAAGCCAGTTTTCCATTAAGTGCTTAATACTACAAACCAGAAGCTACAAGCACAGATCCAAGTCCTCATTAATGTCTTAATCCATAAGTCGACTACTTGGTGGCTTGCAACCCACCAAAAGAGCCCAAACTTGAAATGTAACAACACACTTTCATGGAAATGGCTAGATCTCATGCATGAACCCATTAAGGCATTCAAGATGGAGAGTTTACTGCTTCTGGGACCCTTTTAGCTTTAAGGGTGGCAACCTTAAGCTCAAACACGAGATTCATCAAAAGATCCATTCTTTGGACTAAAAGAGTCCATAAACTCCTCCTAATAGAGATCTAAGAGAACAATCATCAAGCTCAGAACTTTATACCTTTAAAGGGTCTGGAAAGAGGTAAAAAGTCCAAGATCCACAACTTCTCCTTTGATTTACCACCTTGCTTTACTCCTTTCATGCTTGGAAAATGGGTTTACAACACCAAAATGCTCACTAATGGCCACTAAAGCTTCAAGAACACTTAAGGGAGGATAAGGGTTTCGTGGTGGCTATCCAAGGGTGAAATGGAGGCTGACCCTTAAGGCTTATCATTCCTTTTATAGTGGCATACTCTAAAATTTTGAGTTTCTGGACTCTCGACGTACATTGTACGTACCTCCTGTATGCTGGGTGTACTTCCTGTATGATACGTGTACGCCTAAAGTAGCCACGATCCTTCTCCTTTATACGTTGGGCATACCCAGCCGTACACGTGCATGCCTCCCTTGCATGCATGGGACTTGCTAAGTATTTCCATTAGGGACTAGTATTACCATAAATTTTCAATTGTCATAACTCCTTTATTCCAAGTCCGTTTACGACGAACTTTATATCCACGGAAAGGTGGAGGGAAGCTCGACAATCCTAGGCACACACCAAGCCTAAAAACCTTTCAGATAAAAACCTATGACCTATAAAAGACCTAAACGGCTCTATCCTTAGCCTCTGAAATCCACAACCAAAGTACTTTCCAAAACGGGATGTTACACTTTTCTTCACTTTTTCAAAGGAAATGGCTCTCCCTATTAGCTTAATTTCTTCCCATGGTGTTATTTCGAATTCTGAGTATCTTGAAATTCTCCGGGAGAAGTACGACTTTCAGCCGACGGAAAGAGTATTTGTACATATGGACATTGCCACTTTTCTGGAACCTCCTCTGAGAAACGTCGGTGTCTATATCGGGACCTTTAATGCCGGATATCGGCTTCCAACTTCTATTTTTCTCGACGAGGTGCTTCACAAAAATGGGTTCAATGTTTACGACGTTACTCATAATGTTGTAAGCAAGTTCTCTGCTTTCGATATGTTGTGTTGAACTCAAGGTTTCCTTCCAAGTCTCCTGGGTGTTCAAGAACTTTATTTTTATACTATTGGTGACAAGTTTAATTCCTATACCCCGAAGAATGATCATGTCCTTGGTCCTGATGGAAAGAGAAACCCGAAGAATTGGCGAAACCATTGGTTTTGGGTGGATAGCTCTCGAGTGGAGGACCATACATTCGAACTGAAGCCACTTCTGATAGTGCACCTAAATTGCTTAGTCAGGATCAAGAAATTTTTCATCTTTTGGAAAGTTTTATCGTTGTTCCTAAGGAGTTCCCTAAATGTATTCTTGTTGGGCCCGAGATATGCACCGAGTGGCGGCGCCGCCAGGAGATGCCTGGATTTTTTTCGTCAATGGTGGTAGGATTCTCTGTTTTTGACTTTCATGTTTTCTTTTTGTTCTTATTCCTTTCGTCTATCCCTTTTTTTTCTAAAAGATAAAAGGAATGGTTATCTTTTATGGGAGAAATAGGTAATGTCTTTTTCGGATGTGATTAGGAGGAAATCCATGGTGATTTGTAGTTTCGACCAATTGCTCTTCGTGAGAGCCTTCCCCCTCCATGTCAGACATTTGCTAAGGGATTCACTACTCCAGTTGTTTTGGTACCTTCACAGTCGGCTCCTGTCGGCAAGACTCCTGGCAACCCGTCTGTCGTGCTCCTTGTCATGCTTCCTCCTCCTATTCCTTCTGAGGTTTTAGAGCGTCTATAATATAACAAATAGGGGATTTTGGCAGGTGCACTATCCCGCATGACGAGGAAAAGAGGAATTCTGAGACTTGCAACTCTTTCTAATGTGACCAACTAAAAAACCGTTGCCAACAGTCGTCGTCTACACAAGCTTGCCACCAACTTCATTACTAATTTTCTACCCTCCCTTGAAGAGGTAATAAGTATCTCTGATGACAAAGGCCAGGATGAGTGTTTTTTAAACGAGGATAGATTTTTTATAGTGAGTGGAAAATAAGGAGGGTATTTTTGGTTCATAATCTTGTATGCACTTAACTTTTTATTTCCAATTCATAATATTTGATATATGATTCTTTATCATTTATATCCTTGTCTGTTTCAATGATTCATATGAATAAAAACAACACGTTTATGTTTGTTTTTCGTTCGAATCTCCCACACAACAACATATTTTTTGTCTGCGTCGTAGATCAAGTTTTGAGATACTGAAATTGATTTTGGAATTAAATTAAAAGAATTGTTTAATTAAAAAGTATTAAATGGTTTTGGAATACTAGATTGGTAAAAGAGGGTACCGATACGGGAAAGGAACAATAACCATGGGGTGGGGGTGTGTAACATACACGTTCTGAAATTGTGTATTGTTATGATTAAAAGTGAATAAAAATGATTGTTGAGTTTTAACAGCTAGTTTTTACTAAAAATGAAGTAAAACTATATTTACAATCACTCATAAAATATTGGAAGTCTTATGAGATTCCAATTAATAGCAAAATAGTGAAATTTAGCGAAAATATAAAATTTTAAATAAGTAAAATTTTATTATTTGATGTTGTAAATCATCTCGTTTGAAACTTGTAGGCGAAAACCTCGTCGAAATCCAAGTTATAACGAAGAAGTTATAACCAACCGAAGATCCGCGACAAAACCAGCACGGCGCCGAATGACGTAAAAAGTGAGTTTTTGATAAACTACTTTTTAGTCTTAAAAAGCTAAATGAAAGTCGTAGTATTCATTAAACCGAGAAATTCGATAAAAAGAACGCAAATATCTAACTTCATATGAGGAAGTTATGATTTTTCGAAATTTCAACTTAGCAGTAGACAGTTAAAAACTTGAATTTTAGATCGAGCGATATTTGACCATACATCCTATGCGAGAATCGAAGGTCTCGTCATTTGTAGTACAATGGTAAAAAGTCTGACGAAAACGGATGTCGGATGAAGAAGTTATGAATTTTTAACGGATTTTCCTGTCCCGGTCTGTTAAAAATAATAATATTAAAAATAAACTTCAAATTAGCCAACGATGTCTAAACGAAAGTTGTAGAGTGTAATTTTAGCTATGCATGCATATAAAGAACGTAAACAAACGGAGCTCGTATGCGAAAGTTATGGATTTTAGAAGTTCGGGGCTCGAAAACCGAGAAATCTCGCATGAATAGTACCGACCACGTCACCTCGCACGAAGCAGGTGCGTCACCGGGGTCGTGGCACATCCGAAGAGCGACGCGTGTTGCACGCGTGTCCGAGCCTCGCTTCGCTACCGCCACCCCCATCTCGCATGCGAGCCATGTACTTCGTTCTACTGATGCCACGTCCGAGCCTCGCAGCGGCCTCGTGGCCTTCGCTCCTCCTGCCAGATGTCCGAAGCTCGCAGGAGCCACGTCTTCTTCCTCGCATCCGAGCCTCGCAGATGCGACGTGGCCCTTGCTGCTGATGCCACCGAGCTGCTTCGCTGCTTGCTTCCTTCCCAACCGACTCCGAACCTCGGCCTATAAATAGGAGGGTGCGAACCCTCCCGGCTAGAATTTGAAAATTTCCACTTTTAGCCCCTCTTTCCATATTTTTTTCATTTTGACTTTCCCCGAAGCCCCGATATCAATTTTAGCACCCGAAACACGTCTCCAGACCCCCGAGAAGACCGAAAATTTTATCTTTTCGGTTTTGAAGCCCTACCTTCGCAGAGCCCGGTTTTCAATTAAGCTCCCGATCTTCAACATAGAAAGTCATATTTAAAGCCGAAATGTTGTCCAAATTACTATTTTAACCTCCGATTAACTTAAGGTGGGTTCAATATATAGCAACAATTGTATGTTATGTGTTATATGTGCTATGTGCTTCTCAGTGTTAAATCTCCCGTGTTATTTTATTCGCTATGTTTGTAGCAAATATAATACCTTTGACCATGTGATCAGTGAAAGGACTTAGATTCACATTGGTACTGGTACGTAGCCTCTGGCCATGTAGAGCATGTCTCCGTAAGAGAATGACTTTTATTCTATGGTATTGGCAGAAAGTTAGATAGGAATGGTATGTAGCCTCCGACCATGTAGAGCATGACTCCATAAGGGAATTGAACTCTATTCTATGGTATTAGCAAATGGTAATTATATTTATCTATTAAACCAACCCCGACCCTGTTGACCCTTACCCGAAGAATCCGAGGTCTTAGGCTTTTTAGCCTGAGTCTGCGCTACCTGTACCTGCTCAGTCTTCTGCTTTGTGTGGGACTCCAACTCCATCTCCCTTTCACGGGCCTTCTCAACCATCTCATTCAGGGTTTTGCACCCTATGAAACTCACAAACTCCCGAATGTCCTCCCTCAACATAGAGTGATATCGGGTCCTCCTCATGTCCTCATCGGTCGAATACTGAGGAATCAGCAAAGCCCGCTCTCAAAACTTGGCGGTAATTTCCGCCACGGTCTCAGTAGTTTGTTGTAGATCATGAAACTCCCTCACCATTCGATGCACCTTAATAGGCGGTGCAAACTCCTGATCAAAACGTTGAACAAACTCAACCCATGTCATGCTAGTCACACTGGATATCCCCATCTGACTAGTAACCTCGCCCCACCAATCTCGGGCCCTGTCCCTCAGCATACAGGAAGCAAATCCGACCTTTGCCTCCTCCATAGAAGAACTCGTACGCTGAGCGTTTTCAATGTCGGCTACCCAACGTCTACTCACAATGGGGTCCCGGACCCCCGAAAACTCCGAAGCTCCATATGCCTTGAACTCACTAAACGAGGAAGTTCGAGCTCCACCCTGGCTTGCGGAAATATCAGCCTTGAATGCTCTAAGTCTCTCCTACATGATCTCCATCATGCCTTCCTTGACCGTCCCAAAGATGACTAGGGTAGCATCAAGGATGCCACTCGTAACCTCAGCCGCGATTAGCTCGCACAACCTCTCGTCAATACCATCGGTAGGGTCGCCTGACCCACCCTCGGATCCTGATCCCGATCCCGATCCCCCTGCTCCAAATCGCATAACCACCATGCTGAACTGTCATAACACAAACATAAAGATCAGGATTCCCACATCGAGATTGTATCCATACCAAGCTCCTTTGGAATTCCCAGATAGAACATGGGTTCGGGTACGGGTCATGTGCTTCCAATAGTATGGGCCTAGTACTACCTTCCACACCTACCCGTACCTTTCCCCCTGCTTTACCCAGTAACTCCAAAACTATCATAACCGAAAAACTATGGCTCACAGTCCTCACAAGAATCAATCCATGAATACCCTATGATCGTCCTACTCACAACAATCATACTAGTCACTTCAGGTTGCTATTCGGCATGCAAATTATACACAGAAAGGATCAATTAGAATTTTGATTAAGAGATTCTACCCTAAAACCATATACGAACAAGGAAAAGGAATTAAGGCAAAATCACTCATTCTGAAGCTGCAACTCCTAACCGTATATAATTTTTTAACATACACTTAGCAATTTCACATAATCAACAGAGCTCATTTTCAGTATAACATGTCTATTCGAATTGGGAAAACTACTTACTTGGCTCGGCTGATCACGCGCGTTGTACTCTCTTCTTTTGGGCTTAAAAATCCATTTTAAGTTACTTTTGAAAACGTTTACCACTTCCTCAGTTTGAGTCATGACACATCCGAGGATGCTTCCGAATCTCTCAAACCAAGGCTCTGATACCAATTCTTAACATCCCAAATTTTACAAGAAAATTTTTCATTTTAATAAGTTATCCGATTACACATTCCATAAGTTTTCAAAACATATGTTTCCAAATCACATTCATTACATCATTGTTATGTTTTTTATGAAATCATCAAAGAGTCCCCAAAACGTCCGAAAGAGAGATAGAGTACATGCCACACCATCACACCTTGCCTTTGCCCTTAGGCTCCGAAGTACCTGCAACAATCAACAACCTGTAAGCGAAACGCTTATTGAGTTTCCCAGCGTATACCACACACAATCACATATCCTGATAGTCATAAAGCTACACACATCACACATAAACCATGCATACATCAAACCTGTAATAGTGCCATGGGCTACCCGACGTGGTCTTTACCTAGGACTGCCATGGGCTACCCCACATGGTCTTACATCTAGTGCCATGGGCTACCCCACATGGTCTTCACCTAGAACTGCCATGGGCTACCCCACATTATCTTACATCCAATGCCACGGGCTCCCCCAGGGTGTTCATACAACATGCAATCACATATGAAAGCAAACACAAAGTATCTATCACATATACAGTAATCACATAATGGGCCGGCCTTGGTGCCTTAGACCCATAGATAAGGGTGAGAAGACTCACCTGACACGAATGCTGAGCTAATACTTTTTCGACTGGATATGCCCCACGAGCTGCTCCAACTCAGCTACCTAAAAGTGACATATAATACCTAGTCATTAACTTTAAAGTCCGCCCTGGTCCACTTCAGTTAGGATCAAGTCAACAGTCCATATTGACCCTAACTCGCCGAGTGAAACTAGTACTTACCGAGTTTCCCGGGATAACATTTACTCGCCGAGTCATCGAGGTGACTCGCCAAGTTCATACGGTCTTGACTGATAATCTAAGGTCCACTCGCCGGGTTTCCTTGCTTGCCACTCGACACATTCATGACCATCAAATCAATTGGGGAAACTTACTTGACTCGTTGAGTTGTTCCTTCAACTCGTCGAGTTCTAGGAAATCTTCATCCGGCTCGCCGAGTTGTTTATCCAACTCATCGGGTTC